CAACCGCTCGCCCTCGACGTGATTCGCTGCCCTCATAGATGAATCCCTTAGCAACGGGGCCGGGTGATCCGTAAAGATGACGTTCCTCGGCTGGTCCTGTCCCCCTCAAAGTTAGTATCAAGAGGTCAGGAGATCAGCCGAAGAAAAGACATGGAAAGGGGAAACTTACGAAGACGATGTGACCTGGCTCCGGCCGCATTGGATGATGCCCTCACACCGGATAAATGAAGTCGAGGGGGGCAACTGCGCCATCCCATGAAGGCTCCATCGCCTCCTTGATGCATTATGCGATCTCAGAGTTGGAGAGCGCCCCCTCGGCAAGCGTCGTTCCATCGAATAATGCCTCGGGCGCCATCGCGTATAGCGGAAGTGTGCGCATCATCAACGGTGCTACCCTCCTTGCGTGGTAGGCCCTGATGACGCCTGACCCCTTCAGGCCGCTCTCCTTTGGGATGTGGATGGCGGAGATGTGATCCTAGATCTTCTTCTTGTCCTTCTCTGGGACGCCCCACTTCCTCCATGACTCCGAGGCCTCCTCGATCAGGCGCTCGGTGAACTCCGGCAGGGCAGCGGCGGCGTTCTTGAGGTAGAGCCATTACGAGTGCCACCCCTTGTTGGATGTCGACAGCCGCATCGGCGGGTACTCGCTGACCCGATTGTTCCGGAGCTAGATGCCGGTGCACCCCATCAGCATGTGTAGCTCCTGCCTGTCGCTTTTCTCCTTCTTCTTCTGGAGGGTGATGGCAAAGAAGTACCTCCAGAGATTAAAGTGGGGGCTGATCCCTAGGAATCCCTCGCATAGGGCGACAAATGTCGCCATGTGCTGGATCCCGTTGGGATTGAGGTGCTACAACTCGATCTTGTAGTAGTGCAGCAGCCCCCGAAGAAATCTGTGGGCGGGGGTAGCGAACCCATGCTCATGGAAGTGCGTGAACGACACCACGTAGCCATCGGGCAGTGACGGCAAATCCTCCTCGCCGGGCAGCAGCCACTCCTTGGCCGAGTCCGCGTGTAGAAAAGGCCACGACGGACAAGGCCCTCCATACGTTGGAAGGTGATGTTAGAGCGGCACCATGGATCCATTGGAACATGGGGGCGTGTGGATGCGAGCTTGATGGTGGCGAGGACGCGGATGTAGGAAGCCTAGGCGATTGGTGGCGGCGGTTGCAGATGCGAAGGCAGGAAGGCAAGGTATGAAACCCGGGGGGCGAACCCTTTGGTTTTATAGGGGCGACGGGCGCGAGGAAACCAACCGTCCGCCTAGATCTCCGCGCCTGCCACGATCTACCACAACGTCACGATTCGTTCCCTCATAAAACTCGCCGGACATTTCGTCTCTCGGGACGGGTCACGATTCGTCGCAAGTGCGAGGAATACGGATCTAAAAACTCGTCGGATGTTTGCTCTAGTACAAGGAGGAAAAAGAGGGTGAAGAATGCAACCAAATTTTGGATATGTGAAATGGTGAAGGACTTCCTCATAGTGGACGCAACTTTGGGTGCAGCGGCATTGGTGAACAAATTGAAAGAACACCATAAGGTAAATATCAACTACAAGAGAGTGTATGATGATAAGGAGCTAGCATTGAAACAACTTTATGGTGACTGGGATTCCAGCTTTGATAATCAGTTCAAGTTTAAAGCACAAGTTGAGAGTTGTTGCCCTGGTAGCTTAGTCATTATTGACCATCACATGGTAGATGACCATCACATGTCTTTTCCTCCAAGGTTTGGTATTTCTTCCTTTCTCACATGGTTATTTCGCACTTTCTGATGGATTCTAAGTACCAACTAATTTGTCCCCGTAGTCAAAACTTGCAAGAACATCTTCTAAAAAGAGGAAAATGATGATTGTACACCTGAAGTCTCTAAAAGGTAATTTATATATTTTATATATTGCTGAAATCTCCCTATATCATCACATCTTACTTTGAAAACTTCATTATTTAACTATCATGACAGCCACAGCTTGGAGGTTTCAAGTAAGAAAAAGGAAAACCGCACTAACTCCAACTCTGAACGTTCAAAATTGTACGTTTTCTAATTCTGAATTTCAGTTACATGAATCCAATTTTTCCCACTTATCTAAACCATTATCAATGTATAACATTTGTAGGTCAAGAAGTGGGTCAAATCAGCCCGAATCACTTTCTATTGCTTCAAGCGAAGATCGACCTGCTCAAGTTAAAAGAAAGAAGACACCCATCAAGAAGAAGCTAGGCCTTCTAAAGGAAAAAGCCGTAGACATTCTAAAGGTGCCACTTGACAGCCCATCGACGGGTACAAGAAGCAAGGCAGTACTTTCTAGCAGCCCTGCCATGAGCACGCGAAGCAAAAGAAGACTCAGTCTTTGATTTGGGATGTGCCCATTGAATTTGCTAGTTGTATGTAAGACCAATATATGTTTAAATTCGCACTCTTGTGTGACATTATTTATGTGAGACCTTATTTATGTGTGACTGAAACTATAATGGATTTATGTGAGACTTGGTTAATCGTAATGCATGTGTGAAAATTTTTAGAGCACATAATGTACTGTTATGTGTCCTATTTGCTTAATATTATTCTAAATATGTACTGTTATGTGTATTACATACTCTAAATATGCCCTACTGTTATGTGTGAATTTATTTGCTTAATATTACTCTAAATATACAACAATCAAATAAAACTCTGTAATTTTTTTTATGCTAGGGGTAAAATGGTCTTTTTATCTTTGACTTAACACCGTCAAGTGACAAAAACGGACGGAAGACCATAGAAAGAATGAAAGTTCATTTCAGGGCCATACAGATAAGTTAAAAAAAAAGCCATAGAAAGAAGAGCCATTTTTTCTAGGGCCATATAAGTAAAAAGCTCTAAATATTTATAACATCTAAGTAAATATCATTAGATTAGTTATGAAATATATTTTCATAATAAATTAATTTGAAGTTATAAATATAAATATTATTCACTAAAAATTTAATAAACACGAATAACCTTATTTGACATGTAATTGATCGTTGTATGTTTTTGTCAACAGAGCGAGTAGCATGGACTGGACCCAAGTCGCAATAAGCTCCTTGGATTCCTGCGTCCGTGTGGTTCTCTGTGCTTGTGGAGTCTTGTTCGGGTCTTGTCTCTGGGCGTCAGTAGGCCTAAGGTATGTTCGGTTGGCATTAAAATTGACTGATAAACTAGTTAAGCTGTTTTATTACGAGAGAAAGATACTATAGATTTTAGCTGATAAGCCGACTAATCAATTAAGCTGGTTGCATGTTTTGTTTTGTTTTGTTTTTTCCTCCAACCTCTGCTATCGCGGGAGACTACTCCCTCCGTCTATGTATCCGCGCAAAAAGATAACTACAGATTTAAGATAAGTCAATTTAGATTAATTAAGAGAGATCATAGAAAATAATTTCATTATTTGTGTTTTTAAATATGTTTCACTATAAAACTATATTTATAATTAATTTAATAATAGTTATTGACATCTATTTTATTGTATAACTTTGGTCAAACTTAAATGTGTTTGATTTGTTGATAAGTGATAATTGTATTTTTTAAATGAATTGAGTGGTTCTAGCTTCCTAAGATCACATTAAGAGAGAAAAGCAGCATACTCCCGTTCTAAAATACTTGGTCTTATAATATTTGAATTTTGTCTTAAAATACTTTTCTAATTTCTCAATCTGTTTTTTCTCCAAAATAATCATTTCTTCCGTTCTAAAATAAATAAATACTCCCTCCACCCATAAAAAATGGCATTCTGGTTTTCCAAATATTAATATTTATAATATATAGTTAGTATCATTAGATAGATCGTTTAATACATTTTTGTAATTAACTTATTTAGAGATATAAATGTCGCTAGTACTATTTTCTATAAATTTAGTTAAACTTAAAAATGTTTGACCAGCACAAGTCTCACAGTGACCCTTTTAAGGGATAGAGAAAGTATCTTGCTTCTTGAAGAGTCAAACTTATTAATAGTATAAACATCTATATCTCAAAATAAGATTTGCGTTTATTTTGGGACCAATTAATTGTAATTTATGATATTGTATTGTACTACGTCAAACTTTAAAATGATCCTGATTGATAGGATCAATCCCGGATTGATAGGAGACTAAACCCTAAACCCTCCCACCTCGCCAGTCGCCAACAATAAAATCCTGGCTGGAGTCGAACGACAACTTCCCTCGGTCAGTCGGTCTGGTCCCCCCTCCAAAACAGCAAGGCGCCGAAGCAGCTACCGCCACTCCCGAGTCCGCCGCCGCGCCTCTCCAACTGGTAAGCGATCCTACCTTTCCCTGATTGATTACTCCGTTCTCAATCGAACCCAAACCTTTCTCTAGCACTGCCAGCTTTGGATTCGCCATTCGCGTGCGGCGTCTTGGTGCTCAACTTGCGAACCCAATCCGTTCATGCGTCCATTTTTTCTCGATTGGACTTTCCTGCTTCTCCGGCACGGGATTCCACTGGTCGATGGTAGTTGATGGCAAACGTGTTGCTTGGCTTATTTTCCTATAAAAACTGAAGTTTTTTGGGGTTCGCCTGTTCATGCATTACTCATAGGAGATGAAAACGAATTTTATGCATTTTAGATTTGGGAAAATTTCCCCCCTTTTTTTAGGTTACATGAAACCGCTTGTCTCAACTTTAGACTGTAGAAAATGCAACCAACATTTATATCTCCAAATAAGTTTATTATGAAAGTACATTCAAGGTTCTATACAGGATCTATCTAATGATATTAATTATATATTATAAATATTCTTTTATATATAATTAGTCAAAGTCTATTTTGGAGAGAGAACTTCGCAGTCCTTTACGAAAGCTAGTTCAAAATCTAGGTTTCAGGCTTTTTTTTTGGCTGATTTCCACTTCTCCTTTACTTTTGAGGGTCTGAGTCCTGTTAATTTTCGTCTCCTCTGGAGACTTCTTACTTCATGTATATTATTTGTGCCGTGTACTTTCCAGTGTCCTTAGAAAAAGACTGGGACATTAATAATCTATATGAGGGGTCCAGTGTCCTTAGAAAAAGACTGGTACATTAATAATCTATATGAGGGAAAAAAGGTCAGTACCAGAAAATCGAACAGACCAACAACTTAATATAGAACAACAAAGCTATCAACCCTTTATATATATCTTTTAAATTATCACTTTGTGCTGTCGAGGTAAAGTGTTACATGTGGACAAATTATGGTGATCAAACAGATTGCGAGGCTTGTTCATTTAAGTCTGCATTCTTGCATACAAAAGATTCCAGCTAAAAGAGCTTTATGGTAGTGATAGAAACCAATTACAACTCAAGGCTCAAGTAGTAATTTATCTTAGCTACATGTTTTTATGCACTTGCATGATTCAGATTCATGTCTTGTGATGCTTCCCAGTTCCCATCATATATGATATTTATTTTCATGCATAAGCTGATACTGGGTTTTGCACTTATCTGGTTGTTCAGATGGCGGGTAAGGGTATTCTTCATTTTGATGGTGCTTCAAAAGGGAACCCAGGAAAAGCAGGTGCTGGAGCTGTGCTTATGACTGAAGATGGTAGAGTGGTAATAATCAAATACTTACTGCACTTGAAAAATTTCTTGTTTGCGGTTGCTCCATCTATCACTGGGTTCACTGATGTTATCACATAACCATGAAGGTATCTCGGATTCATGAGGGTCTTGGTGTCGCTACTAATAATGTTGCTGAGTATCGGGGCCTGACCTTAGGACTAAAACAAGCGATTGATCATGGATTCAAGAGTATTAAAGTACATGGGGACTCTCAACTTGTCTGCAATAAGGTATGGCCTTTTCACTATAAGTAATCAAAGCTTCATCCCTTGCTTGGTTGTCTAGCTTCTCTGTTTTGTCATGATAGATCCTGCTTAAGGAAAGAGGCAAAGGCAATTGAGAAAAAATAGCAAAAGAGCAACCTGTACAGATGTGTGTTTTCTTTACATACTATTCTATCTAAAAATAAAAATAGTGTGCCTCTTGTTTCACTCTACAGAAATACAGTAACGAGCAAAGCTAAATAACTTTGTCAATGTTGTCTTTGCATTGTTCTCTGTGCAATTTTATATTCTGAAAGTAAGGAACATGCGCACAAGTACTCTCCATTTAGACTGCCGAATCATTTATGCCTTTTCTTGAGAACTACATCCATTGTGCAATCGATAAAAGCATAAGCTTGATTAAGAAGGGAAATGTTCCTCTCCGAATAAATATTTGACCAGAGAATTATGGTATCAAGAAAATGTTGTTGCTGCTGCTGCTTACGTTCTTCTCTATCCTAAATAGGTGAATGGTGTCTGGCAAACGAAGAACCAGAACATGAAGGAGCTGTGCAATGAAGTGAGACAGCTAAAAGAGAACTTTAACTCCTTTGAGATCAGCCATGTTCGACGGGTATGCAATGCATTTATAGTTTTATATAAGCTTGCAGACTCTTTGGTTTTGCATCATAGATATTGGTCAAATCAGATATTCTTCGCACCACAGTTGATGTTATTTGCAAGCACTGACCACTTGTATATGCTTTAGTTAAGCAAGCTACCACAGCAATGGTTGCTTTCGTCAGATTGAAAGAAAATAATAATAAAAAAGAAGCATTAGTTTCTGTTGTACTGCTAAGTGCTCTGCTGATTTTACCCCTTTCCTGCTTCTGAATGAAGGAGTCGAATGCTGAGGCGGATCACCAGACGAACATCGGTACCACGCTTTGCAAGTACAAAACATACATCATCCCTCAATTCCAGTTTCCTTTTCTTGTTTTCATAAAAATCACTGGCTACACTACATTGCAGGTGGCTCCGTGTCTGAGGAGCGTGGTGACATCTGATACATCAGTTACCAACGTACAGCTAGTTAACTAGCTGAACCTTTGCCTTCCACCTTTGTCGAGCTGCTAGCCTGCTCTACAGCAGGAGCTGAGGTGATGGCTTGCCATCTAGTAGGCAGTATATCCAATAATTTACCACTAGTTGGACCTATTTCATCATCAAGCTTCCACGGAAGTCTGATTTCTGTATCCAGTTGAAGGTGATGCATGTTTAATTTAGAGATGGTTTAGACCTTGATATTGATGTGAAACTCTGCTTTGAAAGCTTGCCCTGAAGTTAAGGTTGCTTCGATAAGTTGATCTGGGAATGGAGAATTTTCATTAATCAGCTAGCCTTTAGATGGCTATTTAGGGCTTGTTCGCTTGAACTTATCAGCCGGTTTATCAGCTACAATCTACAGTATTTTTCTCTCACAATAAAACAGCTTCAGCCAGCTTATAAGCTGGCTTTAATACCAGCCGAACAGGTCTTAGATTTTGGATTTGATGCATTCCTTGCTCTAGCATCCTTGAAACTTGATGTACATTTAGGGCGTGTTTGTTTGCGTGGACGAGGGCTAGATGCAGACACAACGCGCCTTGTTTGTTTGCTTGAATGTCTTTTGGGCCTGGCTAGCACGCTGCTTAAAGCAACCTAGAACTAGGCTTTGAGAAAACGAAAGGGGTTGGTGGTTTTTTGGGCCTGGCCAGCTGCGAGTGTGAGAGGCCGCTGCGGTTACCTCCTTGTCACCGCCTTCGTCCGCGCTCCCCCGACACAAGTGACCGGTTGTCGCAAAAAAGACACAAGTGACCTGTCCTCTCCTCCTCCGCGCCGTGCCGGCTCTCGCTCCTTCGCCATGCCCGCTCTTGCTCCTACGTCGGGGCGTGCCTGCTCCTTCGCCGTGTTGTCCCCTTTGTGCTCCCACTCCTCCGCCGTGCTCGTTCCTCCGTCGTGGCACGCCCTGCTCGAGGTGGAGCGCAGGAGGAGAGGCGGGTCGCGGCGCCTACTCGACGAGGAGGTTGCCAGACCGCGAGCTCGAGCACCTCTGACATCGCTTTTGGCTTCTCTGCCAACGACTCCACCTCATCCTGCCGCTTCTCCCCGGACCAAATCCGGCCCCAATCCTCTGACGGCGTTGGGAGCATGATGGCGGCGAGGTGGAGTGTGGAGGGGAAGGCGACCTCCCTCTGCTACTCTCTCTCTCTCTCTCTCTCTCTCTCTCTCTCTCTCTCTCTCCTTCCCTGCTGCTGGGGTGGGTGCTGGCTGCTGCTGTGCTCCATTGCTCACCTTGACCTCCGTCTGTTCAATGCAATGCCAATAAGAAGAGTGCAGGGGTAATTCTACCACATCCTACCCCGAGGTGAGACCACATACCGTCGTGCAGGCAAACAAACAAGATCCCTATCTAATCTGGCTCTGCTGGGAAAAACAACCAAACACAGCAAACTACACCTGCTGGACCAGCCTCTGCCTACCGTGGCCGACCTCATACAGACTAGGTAAAACCATCCAGGCAAACAAACGGACCCTTACTACTTTGTTTCGGAACAGAGCACACAGGTTGTGCAAATATGCCTTATCGTATAGGTGTAGAGGGTTCAGACACTGGGCGATGGTGTTGGTGCCTACTGTTGGGGCCAAACGGATGCGATTGGTGCACGATGCGCTTAAAACACTTATTGGACATCCTCCCTCACACCCGTCCGCGTCGTCCAGGTCTCATGCGACATGGACGGAGCTTTCTCCCCGCGCCGCCACTCCATCCCCCGGTCCCCCTCTCCCTCGTCGCCGCCAGATGCTCATGCGTGCGCAAGGAAGGCGGCGGCGTGGCTTTCTGAAAGGTCCTAATATGGCTAGAGGGGGGTGAATAGCCTATTTAAAAATCTACAAACCAACTAGAGCAATTTGATTAGTATAACAAATAGCGAAATATAAACTTGCTCTAGCTCTACAAGGGTTGAAAGCCACCTATCCAATAATTCTAGTTGCTATGATCACCAAACACATAATTTGCTATGTCACTACTCACTAAGAGCTCTCACACTTGCTACACTAAAGAGCTCCACTAGATGAGCTTAAACTACAAAGCAAACTCTCAATTCTAGCTATACTAAAGAGCTTGCTACAACTAGTTTGCAAGAATATAAATGAGTGAGTAGAGTAATTATACCGTCGTGTAGAGGAGTGAACCAATCACAAGATTAATACTAAATCAATCACCGAGAGAATACCAAAGTGCAAGAGACAACCAATTTTTCTCCCGAGGTTCACGTGCTTACCGGCACGCTAGTCCCCGTTGTATCGACCAACACTTAGTGGTTCGGCGGCTAAGAGGTGTTGCATGAATCTCGTCCACACAATTGGACACCGCAAGAACCTACCCACAAGTAAGGTAACTGAAAGTGCATCTAGCCCTTTAGTGGGTTTTGGATGATTGAATGACAACGTGGTTAAAGGTCTAACCCGTTTGCTAAGTGTGGACAGGTAATAGGTTATCTCACAGGTACTTAATGAAAGCCAAAATGATGTGTTGTTGTATAAATAATCTAGTTCAAGCACAAGACAACAATGCAAATGGAATTCATACAAAGGCTTATTTTATTATGGGATTTCCATGTACTGTGTGAAAGCAAGCTCATAAGAATTAATTAATGAGACATGAGGGATTGCATATGGAATGGTCTCATATTTGAAGCTTGCTAAATTGAAATGAAAAAGATAACAATACAAATGAATGATTGATTCAACACAAGATGTGACTTGATGGCTTGAGATGGTGAAGATAGCAAGGAAAGGCTTCGAGGTACTAAGCAAGGGTGAAGGACAAGCGACAGCTTGACGGCCAAAGAACCTAGCTAGGGTGAAGAAGGAAGTACTTGCATTTAGTTGAGGTACTAATCAAGCTATGATGGTCATGTTAATGTGAAGGATCAAATCACTATTGAAGTGTTTGATGGAAGTGACTTGATACATTTGGGATTATTCAAATTTGATGAATGGAATCAAGTCACGTGCTCAAGATGGCTATGCTCAAGTGAAAATATCAATATCAACATGTTGGCATCCTCACTTGATGAAGAATGGAATACACGGCTTCGGTTGAAAGAGATCAACTCAAAAGGTTTAAATTCGATTATACTTTTAAATTTGAGTTAATAGGAATGCCGTACTATTAAGAGGGATGCATCATGTTGATAGATAATGTTTCATAAGTGCTTAAGCCAACCCATGTGAGTTTTGAGTATTTGAGAGACAAAAGAGCTAACTGATTTCTTGCTGGTCTGGCAATACCAGACGTGTCCGGTGTTCAGTATGTGCCAAGCCATGATAAAATTGTTGTTCTCGGGTTGCTTCGTCGGGAGTTTCGACAATGGTCGGGAGTTTCGACGTCTCGCACTTTAACTGACTTGGAGAGTTCACTGTGGTGGTCATACCGGATGTGTCCGGTATGGACGGCCAGAGGCCAACGGCTAGTTTTCAAAAGCCTTGAGGGTCGGAAGTTCCGACATGAGTCGAGAGTTCCGGCATGAGTCAGGAGTTCCGACACCTCACAAACTTCAACTCAGTTACTTAGTTTTCAAATATGCTGAGGGTCGGGAGTTCCGACGGTCGGAAGTCCTAGCATTCATCGGGAGTTCCGACGCCTCACAACATCACTGTAACTCAGTTACCGTTGGCGCAGTGTAAGTCATACCGGACATGTCCGGTATGCAGGCAACGGCTATAAAACGGCTAGTTTTTCCAAGGGAGCTATAAATACCCCCAAGCCTCCACCTTTGGAGGCTCCTGATTCTGCTGGTTGCTACACACGGTTTTGAGCCTTGCCAACTCTCCCAACCCTCTCTTAGTGAGTGATTGATTAAATTTGCCAAATCAAATTATGGGTTGAGTGAAATTCAAAAAGAGAGCAAACCAACCACTTGAGCACTTGTGCATATTGTCAATCTCGTGATTTGCATTTGTTACTCTTGGACTCTTCGGTCCTAGACGGTTAGGTGTCGCCGGAGAGCACCCAAGAGATTGTGGTGTGCCTCGGAAAGTTTGTAACAGTCGATTTTGCCGCCTCGGAATCAACTAGTGGAAGGAGGAAAAGGAGTTGGAAAAGACTCCGGCTAGAGTGACCTTCGTGGTACCCTCTAGGGCTGACCTTCGTTGGGTCGTCCGCAGCCCCCTCAACGGAGAGTAGGACTCAAACGAGTCCGAACTTCGGTAAAACAAATATCGTGTCTCAATTCACAATTCATTTGATATTTGTGTTGCTCTAGCTCTTGTGCAGGTTCTCTGTGTATATTGTCATCTTTAGTAGGTGCCAGCAGTTTGGTTTGAAGATAAAAATCGAAGGGAGCAAGTTCGGGGTTGTTCTGCAGAAATTGTATACTAGACACGTCCGATATTAGAGCTCAGGACTGAATATGATTTGATTTATGTTCTAACTTTGTGTTGCAGAGTTGTAGCTTCTAGATATATTCTTTATATCTTGTTTACTCTGTGGCTAACTTGTGCGGTGTGGTGTTACTCTTGATTTGGAGTTTCCATTTTGGAAACTCACTTCTCTAATTGTTTCCGCATTTAAAGGTGTTAATTTTTAGAAACGCCTATTCACCCCCCTCTAGGCGGCATCCTAGGTCCTTTAAATTGGTATCAGAGCGAGGTTCTCACCTAAAGCTTCACCGCCGTGAGAAAAGGATGTCGACGCCTATCGAGTTTGAGCCGGTGCTTCTCCAAAATGATGGTTCAAACTTTCTACCGTGGTCAATACATGTACTCAATGCTTTTAGAGATATTAGTTCTCTTGTTGAGCATATTGTGGATGCAAGCATACCTCTTTCTATAGTTGATTGGAGCAACTACAAAAAATTGTCAAAAGGGGAAGAGATATGCGTGCAACTCAATGCTCAAGCTATTAATATTATTTTGAGTACATTGAGTGCAGAGGTTCAAGATGAGGCAATCTTCAATGGACAACCACCTCTGGAGAGTGCTCATCTCATTTGGACTAGACTTTTTGATTTATATGGAA